CTACACCAAATACTCCAGCATGATCAACCAGACCATGCCCTACAACTACCCAGTGCCCGTCCGAGATGATGGGAACATGCCTGATGTGCCCAGCCACCCCCAGGATGCCCAGGGCCCCAGCTTGGAGTGGCTGAAGAACTTGTGAGCACCTCTGTAATGGACGGGAAGTGGGCCCCTGCCCTGTCCCCAAATAAAAATGTAAAAGCCAACCCCAGAAAAAAAAAAAATTGTTTTTTTAAAAAACTGCTTTCAGCATCTATTCAGTCTTCTCTAGTTTTACTTGCTGTTTTCTATCTTACTAAGAAGAATATGTTTCTCTCTTTAAACATTTTGGACAAGGTCTCTGTGTAGTTTATGCTGGCCTTGAACTCACTATGTGCTTGAGGCTGGCCTCCAATTTGTGGCGCTGTTTCTGCCTCAGTTTCTGGAGTGTTGAAAGTTATGCACTTCTGTGTACAGCTTTGGCTACAGGTTACAGATGTGGGTATAATGTGTGGCTATGTTGCTTTTTAGTTTCCATATCTTTTCTTTTTTTATTATTTCAGTTTTTTTTTTTTTTTTTTTTTTTTTTTTTTGCAGAACCGGGGATCGAACTCAGGCCCTTGCGCTTGCCAGGGAAACGCTTATTCCACTGAGCCATCTCCCTGGCCCCCATATTATTTCAGTTTTTAAAATGTATTTGGTACAGGGTCTTACTATGCAGCTCTGACTTGCAGTGATCCTCCTGTTTTCAGCTTCCCCAGTGCTGGGATTATAGGCGCGTGCCAGCCCATCCAGATCCTGGCCAGCTCAGCCTGCCCTGGGGGCGGGGCCGGTGCAGCATGTGGTGCCTAGGATTGAACCCTGGTCCCTGCGTTTGCCTAGGCAGGTGTTTAATCTGCTGAACTATCTCACCAGCCCTATTTTTCTTTTTGATCTAAGGATATACGGATTTTTATTTTGGTAATGCTGAGGACCAAATCAAAGTGTGCTCTACCATTAAACTACATCTTGGTGGACTAGAACTTGGTGGTCCTCCTGCCTCAGCCTCCCCAAATGCTGGGATTACAGGTGTGCCCAGCTCAGAGTTGTTTCTTAATTTCCATGTAGTTCCAGTGTTTATAGTGACATTTTAATATTTGATTTTTTTTTATTAGAGCATGGCAATGGAAAGTAGACTACAGAATTGCTACCTCTTTATAAAATTGTGGGATTGGGGGAGAGAATTTGATTTTTGTGGATATACACCAAAAATGTGAAGTCTATTCATAGACTCCACATAGTCATCACATCATTCAGTTTGTCTTTATTTTTATTAAATATGCCTAGTTTTTGGCACGATGCAAGGAAGTCTCTTTAATTGTATTTTTCTTTTCTATCAAGTTTTAATTGCATTTCCAGTAATTTCTGATTCAATTCAGTACAGAGCGTAGGACTGCGCTATCTCTTGAACAGACTGTGCTTTTGTTACGCTATGGTATCCTGTGCTTTTAACCTTACATTCCACAGTGCTTGCTATTGACATTTCCACTCCTGGTGCTGTTTGCATTTGCCTAGTGTCTCTTTGCCACCCTTTTATTTTCAGCCACCATTTTATTTTACTATCACTTTGTAGCAAATTCCAATCCAGTCATGTTTAGATGATGACGGATTCACTAGATTTATCCTTTCCATCCTATTGTGTGTATTACATTGTCATTGTCTCTTCTTTTTCCTTTTTAGTTTCTGGTGGGCACTTAAGGTTAGAGACCCCATCCCGCCCACGCTCTCATCACTGCTGCTGACATTTGTCACCAGGCCTGCAACCTGGGCCAGTAGAAGTTCCCAGAGATGAGATTTCACTCTGACACTCCACAGTTGTAGGACGGGGCAAATCACTCACCCTCTTCAAGCATTAAAATACAGACAGTCGTGGGCACCTGCAGGAGTAAGCAGATGTGGATGGCCCTGGCACACATCTGGCGCTCCCAGTTCCTGTGCTTTCTTGAGGTCTCTGGGTAGGGATGGAAGCTCACCTTCGTTCGAGCTGAGCAATCAGGATGAGGACGGCCACGATGGCCCTTTTCATGTCTCTGACTCACCCCTCGAGGACTCTCTGTACTCCTCCAATCAGCTCCTGTTGCTCTCCCATCCCCGCAGGACGGTAGGGCTGACAGTCTCCTGCTCAATGGCCCAGAACACTGTGCACAGCTGTTGCACTGCCGATGACACAGAGACTGGGCCTGGCACCCAGGGCTCCTGCTTCTGGCCCCAGATAAAAAGAGGTGCCTTTCACCCTCTCTTGGAGGCCCTGGGCAAGCACAAATGCCCATATGATTGAAGTTCCCATAAATAGGAGATGGGAAATTGGAGCTAGGACTCTGGGAGGCTGTGTCTTGGGGACAGCAGCTCTTCCCTGATGCCACTACGGGAACACCCATGGGTTCAGTTGTCATCTTTATAAACCTCTTGACCTGGCTGTTGATCACTAAGGCTTAAAAGGTGAGGAATTCCCTGACCTTCAGATGTGCCATGGCTGTCACCACCAGATCTTGAGACTCGACCTCCTCTAGGGTGGTCCTGAAGGAACCGGGTCCCAGTTCATTTTCTCTCAATTGTTTGGTAGAGAGGTAGGAGGTATTGTAGATGACTGACCTCGCTGTATGTTTAGTTCTATGAGTCCAGTGATTTTTCCACTAAAGCAAAATTTTGATCTCCATAAGGGCAGAGGCCAGGCTGCCTGCCATCTCTTCAGATCCCTTCTCCAGGGTGGTGGCCTTTGATGGGACACCTCCTCCCACATGCTGCTGATGACTAGCTGAAACCAGCAAGAGGGAGGAGGCCCTGGGTGCCTTCCACCATCTTCATCTGGGTCCTCCCATTAAATCCCTGCCCTTTAGAGATTCTACAGGCCTTGCAGTGTTAATTTATCCCCACATTCCAGACTCTGGTATTCATTTTTAGAACAATCCTATCAATCTATTAAAAAAAAATATGGGTCCACAAGCTCACTGGGGACAGCAGGGAACTTCTTGGTGGTGTGACACAGTGACACTCATCTCCCAACCCAGCTGCAGCTGTCCCCACCCCAGCCCTGCTCCACAAGTGCCAAGAACGCCAAACAACTCTGTTCAAAACAGTTTATTTTATTTTATTTTTTTTTTTGTCAGACAAACACATTGATTTCTGGACCACAGTAGAGGATGGAAACCTTTCACAAACTTATTTATTTGAAAATACAAATATAAAATTATACTTTCCACATCTGTGATGTGAGAGACTGCCATCCACATAGTAATTTTTTACAACAGGGCTTTAAGAAAGCCACACACAAAGACCTGAAAGATGCTTGAGATATATATATATATAGATACATATATATGTATATATATAAAAAAAATACTCACTACCAAAGTTCTCATCAGTTTCATACTAAAGTATAAAAGTAAGGGTGAGGTCAGCCACAGTGCTAGGGAAAGTTTTATTTAGATACATTTATGTCCACATGAAACGCTTAGACTTGCATCCTATTACATATGGAATTCCGAGTTTACAACACACCGTGAACGGCAGATTGGCTAGCCCACGCTACACAAGAGCACACTCACAGACTCCACACGGATGGTACAGTATGTACAGAATACAGTAGTAGGAGCCTTCCGCGGAGGCTCTGGAACTTTTGTCTCTCAGTCCCCGTTCCCCGCCCCCTCCACCCCACTCCCGGAAACGAAATCCTGTCTGAGACAATACATTCTGATTATTAGATAGCCAAGTGTTTGGATAAAGGTTGTTTCCCCCTGAGGGGTGGGTTTACTTTATATGCTTTTGTATTTTATTTTATTCACTTTTTTTCTTTTTTTCTTTTTTTTTTTTTTTTTGGTGACAGACTAAAGGAAAGAAAGAAAAAGAAAACGAACATATGACAGTATTAAAGTATTGCTTAACTTTCCAGCATCGCTTTGTGTAGTGTCTGCGCCCAGGCCTGGGCTGAGCTAACGTCTGCTTGTTTTCTGCTCTAGGGTGAGGGTGGGGAAAATCACCAGTGTCTCTGTTCAATGTGCCCAAAAGCAGCCTGTCCTTATTTTTCTACCCTCTGTCTCCTCTCTAGCTTTTGCCTTTCTTAGAAGATGCCCTGGCTGCTGAAGCACATTCAAGAAAAAAAAAAAAATTCTCCCCTCCCCTACCTACCCCCAGTCTCCCTCTGTTCCTGTGTGTCACTTGCAACTGATAAAGAGAAATATGAATTAGTGTTTCTTTTGTAAACAATTTCATATGCAATATAATACAGAAAGCATGGCTGACCTTCAATTAAAAAAATGTAGTAAACTATATTGCTTTAGTCTTGAAATACGCTGCAGTGAGTGAACGGCAGAATGAAGCATGTGGCGGTGGAGGCTAAGTCCCTAGCCCTCGTTTGCACTAAAAGATCAAAATAGATTTTGTTTTTCTATTTGGAACCAAAAATAAATTGTTTTTCCAAACTCCCCAAATGAAAAAGAACCAAGAGAAGACCCCCCCGCTCCCTGAAAAAAAAAATCTCAAAAACAAAACCAAAAAAAACCAAAACTGAACACCTTTCAGGTCATTAGAACCAACAATTACCCAATGATTTTTATACTAGTCTAGCAAGATGTGTGTAACATTCACGGGCTGTGAATTGCTGTGGAGTGAAACAGTAAGTCGACAGCAATTGAGCCATGCTACCTTAAAGCCCAAGCTACAAGTTCAAATTAAGATGATGGTCATGAAGGATAAAAACGTAAAGGCCTGTTGGGGCTTCGTTTGAATCAAGCCAATGGGTCCCTGGGATCGGGCGCGAGGCTATTTGGTTTTCCCAATGGGTGTGAGGAAGGCCACGAACCACCTCTGCGGAGGCTCCTGGAGAGGAGAGGCAGGCCTGGTCACTTCCCTCAGCCCCGTGTCCAGGCAGAACCTAGCAGGAGCCCAGGAGCTTCTGCCACTCACTCTCCCCTGCCAGGGAGGAGAGGAGTTCAGGGGTCTCAGGCAAATGGATCTGGAAGCCAGAGTCCCCAGGAGGCCATGCAGTATGGTGGGGAAGAGCCATCAGCTGGGAGGCTTTCTGCCCCAGCGAAGGCGAAAGGTGGTTTCCAGGTTACCATTGAGCTTAACTGAAACAAAGACAAGGCTGGACAATGCTAAAAAAATTTACAAAAATTGTTCAAAATGGACTTCTAGATGAGGTGGAGGGGACTAACGTGAACCTTAACTTAGGTAGCCACATTAAAACATATCAGATTTCCACGAGATTTGTGCTATGGGCTACTGGGTCTCTTCAAAAGGTATATAAACATCTAAAACATATTCACACAGATTATCAATTTCTTCTGAGCATTCTTAAAAAAATATTTTTTTCTCTTAGTAAAATCATTTTAATATACCATGCCTCCCTCTTTTAAAAAATAAATTAAAAAAATCCAGTTTTGCATATCTAGCATTAGCATTTAAGGTAGTATGGCACACCCCTTCACAGAGAGGGGGGCGGGGATCTACAAAACGCCGCAGTCGGCCGGCATTTGAACATCGTGAGGCCTTGGGTTAGTTGAAACCACATCAGATCAGCAAAAAAATAAACATAAACTTCAAATTGAAAGAAAAAAAATTAAAGGAAAACAAAAAACTGCCCCAAAATTATTAGCATTTTTGTTTCTTTTCATAAATAAGAGAAAGTTCTATCCTTACTGGTCCTAAATCTGAATAACTATGTCTAATTTTTTTAAAACCTTAATTACGTTATACCTATCAATATGTACTAGAAGAAAGAGGAGAAAAAAAGTCACTACACTAGTACCAGGACAGCACACTTACAAGATAGCCATTTTATACATTATTAACAGACAATGATCAACCAAGAATCTTCTATGAGGCGACTGGGATGTGGAGGAACGGGGGCTACAGTACATCACCAACATGGACAGAAGAGTAATTAAATCTCCTAGCTAGACACTGAATTTCTGGGAATTTACTGTCTCTTTTTTTCTTTTGTTTTTTTAAAAAAATTTATTTATTTATTTATTTATTTTTTTAAGTAAGACTTTTATTTTGTTACTTTCATGACTTGAACAGGTTCTGATATTTTAAAAGCGTCCAGCATTTTTCTTAACTTGGTTGTCTGGAAATTCATAATTAAAAAAACAAACAAACAAGAGGAAAAAAAAAAAAAAAAAAAAAAAAAAACCAAATCTCACCAAATAACCTAACATTTTACTGGAAAACCAAAGAACATGATTTAAAAAAAAAAAAAAAATTGTTGCAGTTTAACTAGAATTGAAAAAGACTCTTCTTCTTTCTTTCTGAGTTAGCATTTTGGAGTCTTTAGCTTGAAGATGCGTTTTACCCTACCATGTCTGTGAGCGTCTATATTAGACTACTTTGTTAGTAAAATTTATAAAAATAGGAGAGCAGCAGCTCTTTATAATAAATGTCGCATTCAGTGTCTCATACTGGCTGTGCCTTAAGTACCAAATTTATAAACGTAACAATTTAAAAAATATTAATAAAACGTCAATATCACATTTTAAAAAAAGAAAAAAAATATATCTCCACACTACAATATGTTTTAATGCCATCTATTGCGTTGTACTTCTATGGTTGCTGTTGCCGACCTATTACCAATATTTAAAAAAAGTTAAATTAAAAAATATCCTTCATCATAAGTTGTCTTTCCCCAACCGAGGCCCCTACATTATAATAGCCAAATGTTAAACATGTGCAAATAGGAAAGTGTCAGTTTTTCCCACCAGTCACAGTGCAGTGATGTTTATACTTTTTATTTTTAAAATTCTGTTTACATCTACAATAAATTAAAAAAAAAAATCTTCCATAGCCTCTCTGGTGATACTTGCAGCACTGAGGTATTAAAAAAAATATATATATAAACCGAAAGGTTGCTTTCCTAATTTGTAAATAGAAAGTGAATGAAGAAAAGGTTGTGTTCATGCAGGCTTATCCACTTCTGGCCCGTGGGTCCCCAGGTCTGGGGCTGGGACGGGGGACGGGAGGAAAGAGGCAAGAGTGTTCTAGAAACCTTTGGAGGCGCTGAAATGATTGGACGATAGAAAATGATCAAATATTTAAAAATTAAGACTGAAAAAGAATGTCCCCCTTCCTGCCCCCCCAAGCCAAACAGGTGTGCTTTGAAACTTTAAATATGTTAAATATTAAAATTGTAGCTTTTTTTTTTTTAAAAAACGTCTTGGGAAAAGCAGTTTTTCATATTTTAAATAAAAATCTAGCTAGACGGTAACATCTGAAGCTGTGCAGACGAGAGGTTGGTAGGCTGGTAGGATACTAGTACAGTTCTTAGGTCTGTCGCGCTCAGGCGCGGCACAGTGCTCTACCGTGTCCTGGGGTCGTCCCGGCAGCCGGTGTCGCTCAGCCGCAGTCCCGGACTTTGTCTGCCCGCCCTCCCCTCCTTCCACAGCATTGAACGGCCTGGGACCGACTCCCTCACAAAAATATTGATTCTCTCTTTCTTAATAGTTTCTATGAAGTTAATGGAATTGTATTTACAACATTTCTTCTCTCTTTTTTTTGTTTTTTTGCTTTTTGTTTTTTTTTTTTTTTAGAATTCACAATTTCAAAAAACCTTATAATATGACCTCTTTCAACAGAAAAAAAGCACTTATAGAAAAGGAGGACGCTCAAAACATGGTCGTCCTTACCTTATTGCCGAAAATAGAGATACTTAGGTTAACAAAGAGACAGCACAAAAAAGAACCGCTAGTCTGTTAATTAGCCTACTACATATCACTTGCTCTACAACACAAAATAGAAAGTTTATGCCCATCTCCCTCCCTGCACTTCACAACTTCAGGGTGTGCTAAAGTTCCACCTGAAAATTCATTAGTCTCAGAACTGATACCAAAATATGGAGAGCAACATCACCATCTCAGCATCCTTTAAAAGCGAGAACAGAATCAAAATCACCAAAATAAAAAAAAAATTAAAGAAAAAACAACTCCTTAATGTAACAATTATACTATGGTTAGCTTTTAACTAGATATTAAAGCTAGGTGACTACTGGACTAAGTCAAAATCACTATCAAATGTGATTCAAAGAGATTTAAAAGGAGAAGGAGAAGAGAGCGGGGGAAGGGGAGCCATCAAGAGAAACAAAACGAAACCGAAATCATGGGTTATATATACATTTAAAAGCTGTTGTCTTATATTACAGCAGATTCGTGAGATGAAGAGATGTAGTCAACCCTCGAGCTGAAGTGAGCCATCTCTCGCTGGGATGAGGAGTGAGGCTGGTGGGGATCCAGGTCTGAGGACATCACCTAAACAAAGGGCCACTCAGAAACTTCGCCCAGTCTTGCCTGGACATCCAGGTATGCTCTGTCGGGCAGGGAAGGTCAGGCGTGCCACGAAGAGGACATAGAGTGAGAGTGAGGAGAAAGAGGAGAAGTCAGGCAGCGCATGGTCCATCGCGACATTCCAGTCAAGACTTTTTCAAGAACTCTGTCAGGTGGCTCAGTGTGTATGACTGTGGCCAGGCTAACGGCTTTCTTAGGCCATCTTGGGAAATGTGACCTCTAAGCCTTGCCTGACGCCAGGGAGAAGGCAGCTCTAGAGCTCGTGTGCCGACCTGCCTCAAGTATGGCCAAGTCTTGTAACCATGGGATATGTGGTCAGTGAACGTGACCATGGCAGGCTTCCTCCCGGCAGCACGGTTGAAAGGCACATTGACCAGAGAGATACTTTTTGTATTTAAAAATTGTTTTCCAAATTAATGTTTAAGGAAAACTTCTGCCTATCGCAAGTATCCATCCATGACTGTTAATAACCCAAAATGCAAATATATAAAACATCATATTATGTGTCAAGGGACTAAAGATTGGGACAGATAAAAAAATATATACAACAAATAAGCAGAGCTCTGGTTAGAGAAAACCAAGGTAAGTCCAGGATTCAGACTGGCCCAGGATGCCTCCCTGAATTCACTGTGGGCTCCAGCCCCTCTTCTGTGGGTGATATTTGCATTCGAGTGTCATCTCCGCTGGGGAGGGTGTGTGTGTATATGTGTCTAGCTGTTAACTGCTGGGGGCACCCTTGTGACTCCACTGGGTCACTAACTCCATTCCTGAAGGGGTGGGCTGCTGTTTCTGCTCCTGACCCCTTTGTCTCAGTCTACAAACTGAGTCCTGGAGTTGGATGGGGGAGGTGGGCAGGAAGTAGACTCTCCCCTTCCGGTAAAGAGGGCCAGAGCAGCCCTGGGGCTGCAAGGCACTATGGGTAGGAAGTCTCAGGTACAGGGAGGGAGTAGCGTAGGCCTGGCCACTGGCTGCTATGTTGAGCAGCTATTTAATCCCTCTTCATCTGTGTCCACAAGGGGCTGCAGCCCTCTCCAATCCCTAGAACTCTTGGGCCTCCTGACTCTCAGAGGAACGTTACTGCCCCTGGGCCCCCAAACCCAGCTTAATTAGTAGCAAGTAGCTCTAATTGTTCTTCAAACTGTTAGTGGCCTCTGGCTCTGGCCAGCAATGGCTGGGTCAGTGCTTGAAGGGAAGTGGAGACAAGAAGAATTTACACACATGGCTTATTTGGTTAAGAGAGGCAGTTGCGTTAGTCACGTTGATTCCTTAGCAGCAACATGAGGGAAATCCAAGAGATTATAGGTTCAACCTGTCTCTATCTCTTATAGAGTCCTGGCTGATTTGGGGCTAGATGCCATCCCCTCCATAGGGGATGGCAAACCTAGACTGCAAACCTAGACTGCTCCTCCTATACACCAGCTCCTGGAGTGTGATGCTCTTTGTGCCCCAGTAGGATTTTTTGAGTCAAACCTATTCCCATGCCCTGGGCTGTCATCCTTCCTCCTTCAAAGGGACAGACCACATTCCAACCCACCAACTCGAGCACTAACCCAGTCCACATCTCTTTTCCTGAGCACAAGCGCTTTCACTTCTGGGTGTTCTTCCCAAGAATGGCAGACTTGTTTGTGGCGAATGTGGCCAGAGTCCTGCTCCCTGCTTGCCCCAGCTCCCATTCCTCTGTTCCACCCCTCTGTATCCCCATCAAAATGATTTAAAAAATGTTTAATTAACTTGAGCTCAGTATAAAAGGTTAGGAAACTGGCAGGGATCCAAACCCACGTTACGCAGGTGATGTCGTTAATTTAATTTGCTTTTCGTGCAGTAAGCTGGATAATTACTCAGTAGTTACTGGCAAAAATGTTTTCTTTTCACTAAAAGATGGAGTCTGGCTGTTTGACTGCACAACCCACATTGGCGAAGCCCTAGTGAGACCCAGGGAGCTCAGCAGCGCACAAGGTCATCTCGTAGGACCTTTGGGAGCAGTCCAGGCCCCCACCCCCCACCCCAGGCTTGGCAGAAGACCAGCTTCCATGCCTCCATCTCCTGGGACGGGCACAGTGCAAGATCACCTTCCAGTTTCCCATACTCTTAAATGTATTTCAAGACAGAGAAAGATGAAGGTGGGGAAGATAGAGAAATGGAATCCAAAGAAGCAAAACCAAGGACAAAAGAAAAGAATGAGGGGGACCAAAAAAGATGGGGGCTGAGAAAGGGATAGAAGATGAAAAGACTAGATATTTTTGCCCCCACCCTCCTGAAAAGGGGTCCAGAAAGACAGATGTTGATGGGATGAGACAGGGGCGAGCACGCACATGTATGACCAGCGCACATACATGTACGGACACGCTGCAGGGTGGAGACACATGGCAGAGACGGTAATACCTCAGAGTGAGATGGCAACGAAAGCACCTGCTCAATGGTATCCATTTGTAAAGGCCGTTGCAATCAAAGGTCCCTAAAATTGCACAATTGTTAAGGTCATCAGTGCACTATACACAGGAACAGATTGTCATATTCTGGAAAAGGAAATTATCTCTAGGACTTGTCTGTGGTTGCCAGCATGAATATGTAATTCTGAGACACTGTGCCACGGCAGGCCAGGACTTATTTTCTTTAGATCTAACCCCTTGCGTCCCCAACCCCCAACCCAAGTCTGTCTGCTTACCCAGGGAAACCAAAAGCCAGATTCAGTGAGTGGTGGGCAAGGGGGCCTCGTGCCCAAAATGATGGGCACAGTTGCCCTGCACCCCAAAGGGCAAAGATGAGGGTCTCTGTCCACAGTCCCAATGGCTTGAGCTAGGGAGAAGAAATCGTGGTGCAAACAAACTGCAATGATATGGGGGGTATTTCAGAAAATCAAAAATCAAAGCACATAAGCGCTAAAGACCCAGGTATATAATAAAAGATAGGGTCTATGTTTCTAGACCCTGGCACTGTAAATGATTTGTGTTTTAAGTGTCAGTGGATGGTCCTCCATAGTGACACAGATCATGGCTGAAAAAGAATGTTCTGGATTTGTTGCTACCATTGCTCCAAAGAGATCAGATGCCCCCAACTACTGACAGGAGATGCTGTCGCACTGGTGCAACTGAACAGGACCCAGGTAGCACAGGCCAGGGCTGGCAGGGGCACATGGATCTGTGTGAGTGTGTATACATCAGTGTGTGTGTGTGTGTGTGTGTGTGTGTGTGTATGTGGGGGAGCTCTCCAATGCCAGGAGGTATGGGCGAGCCCATCCTAGTGCTCTAGACTGTCCACATAGACTCAGCAGCACAGTCCCCAAGGCAGGGTGGGTAGCTGCTCTCTCCCAGATTCTGAGTTTGACAGGGCCAGGACCTGGGACAGCAGACAACTCCCATCTCAGCTCCAAACCAAACTATCCCTCAGATGCTGAGGTTGGCCAGGGCAGAGGTTGGTCGGTTTTGTGTTTCCGAAATGGAAGGGACTGGGCGCGAGTGGGCTCAGGCACATTCATGCTCACACGCCAGGAGGGAGAACAATACAATCTGAAAACAGCATGCAAATCGGTTAAGCAAATTTCCATTGCCTGGATTAGTCAGATTATAGAACCACAGAGCATTACAAGTACAAATGCATCTGGCCTTCAGGGGGCTGCAGCTAAAGAATGCAATGGGACTTACTTGGAACCTAGAAATGGCAAGAAACGTTAACAAAGGGAATGGCCTGGGAGGGGGGTCCCTCCACCCACTCATGTAGACTAAGGGGACTCTGCCGGCTAAGGTTGTTACCCCGAGGGAAAGGGGATGGCACTGCATTGTGGACCTCCCATGTGCCAACACGTGATACACTCTATTTCTATTTATTTTAACCTAGTCTTTTGAGGAAGGCATCCTATTCTCCTTCGTACTCTCAGGTACGTGAGAGTTCAGAGAAGCTATGTAGGTATCGCAAGGTTGCGAGGGCTGGAGGTGGTAGAGTGGTGACATGAACTTGAGCTGCCCACGCACCTTCCACTCCCTGCCCAGGCCACCGGGGAGGGGCTCGGAACATGTTTAGATGGAGGCGCTTCAGCCTCAGGAGCTGCCGTGATGCTGGGAGGGGCCCCTGTCTCTCCTCTGCCCCTGCTACTGGACTTCGCTCCCCACGGGATTCACAGAGTTGGTCAGGAGGGAGGACGCGGAGGGCAGGGAGGCAGGTACTTACAGCTATGCCGTGGCCGAAGCCCGAGCCCGGCTGTGGGCTGGCCGCGCTTATGTAATTCCCCACTCCGGAGTCCTGGCTGGCAGGGCCGTAGAGATCAGCGACAGGTCCTGGGCTGTTGGCCCCCGGGAAGCCTCCGGGCCGCGCCGGGTTGGAGCCTGCCGGGGAAGCGGGCGCGCCAAAATTCGGTTGAGCACTGTAGCTATTCAGGACTGGTGTGCAGAGAATAGAGCTAGGTATGAGGCCAGAAGCCAGGCATGCACCGATCATTACAAGCCAAACACTCGAGAAAAACAGCTGAGGCCCAACTTCTAACACTCAACCAAGGCCATGCGAAAACATCAGCAGGGACTCAAGAATACTCAGCCCAGGCTACTACTAAGAAGCTTGGAGCTCCAAAAATAGAGAGAAGAAAAAAAACAATCATTCAACACACTACAGCAACCAACCGGAGGCGCTTTACTGCCCACCAAATTATCACAATAGAAATAGAAATAGAAATATATATGGAGGAGAGAGAGAGAGAAAGAGTTTTTTTTTCACATCTGAATTGACGCTCATGCAGTCCTCTAGATTTGGGCACGTTGAGACAGCATTCACATCCCATGCAAACTACAAAGGAACTAGTTTTAGACTACACATTGTGTTAATATTGATATTAAAACATGACAGGAAACAAAGCAGTTTGTGTCCAGGAAAAAAAAATAATAATCTTTGGGGAAGGGATTTAAAAAAAAAATTCTTTTTTGGTGTGTGTGTTTCTTTCTTTCTTTTTCTTTTTTCTTTTTGGATCCATTAAATGACAAATTTTTTTTTTTTTCAAAGACAAAAAAGATCTCCATTCTGTATCTGCTGCCCTCAGCCTCCCCTTCCCCGCTGGCTACGCCCTCCCTCCCCACCCCTCCCTTTATGGCCCTGCATGGAAGTCGGCAATACTGAAGTGGTCGGAGGATGGGATATGTTATGGAGAGTTGGGGCATCTTTACAGAACAGTAATGATGGCGGCAGGGGGTTCCCTTTTGGGGTGGCGAGCAGGGGATGGAGGACGGGGATGGGGTGGGAATGGTAACCTGAGGTTGGGCCAAAGCTGGGTGGAGCCAGTGGTCCTACAGAGCATCCACACACTCACCTCCTGCAGTAGAAGGAAAGGGGGGATTGAACACTTTTTTCTTTTTGTTTAAAAAAAAAAAGATAAGAAAGTATGAATGCAGAGCATACTGACCGAAGCAACTGACAGCTAAAGCGTCTCTGACAGAAACGCCCAGCTGGTGTTAGTTTATCCCCAGACGTAAACTCCAGATTAAGAAGGAAGCTCAGAATGCACCTTTTCCTCAAAGGAGAGACTTCATGCCCACACACCAGGGAGGTGGCGCTGCACCTTGGGGGAGGGGGAGGTGGGAGGTGACACTGTCTCAGGACCTCTGCCTCCTCTAAATCTCACGGTGCCCTTCCCAGTGAGAGCCAGTTGGGTTTTGTGTCATCCTTACTTCCCCACTGTAGTTTCAACTTTATTTTCTTTTCCAAAGTGGAAAAAGTTTTTTTTTTAATTGTAAAAGTTAGCTCTCTTTGGGTTTTAAACCGCAAGGCAAGTTTGGGGCTGGTCCCTCTGGGCTGACAGCTCGCCCCACCTTGATGAGGCAGGCATCACACACTTGCAGGCCACTGCTTCCTTCTCCTCCTCCCTCCTCTGCCCTGTGACAGCTGCCTTGGGATGACAGAAGGAAAGAGTATCTCTTGTGGAAGCTGCCCTGGAGGCCTGCAGCTGGAAACCCTCACCTCTCGGGGCTCTGAAAAGCCACAAGTGCAGTGTCACAGGGGGTGAGAAGACCCTGAGATGCACCACCACAGGCTGGCAGGAGACTGAGAGGGGACTTAAGAGGCAAAGGGGAGACCAAATCAAGCTGGGCCTGGCTCCTGGCTCAGCGGAGAAGGCAGAAAGTGCTGCCTGTGGATGCCTGCGGGGCAGGAAGACCCCCAGGTGAGTCCCTAAGAAGCCAGAGCCCCAGATGAGTAAACAGCCAATGGAGAGAGCAGGCTAAAGGGAGAAATGGAAAAAATTACAGAGGCTCATAGCAAGTGAATGGCTCACTTGGGAATGTTCTGGGAGACGAGGGGATGTGCAGGCCAGAATACAGAAGATGAAACTTGCAGGTGCCACCTAGTCCTTCTCACACATGGAGGCAAGGACTAGCGGAGGGTTCAAAAGGCAGGATTATCTTGGTCAGACATGTGCCTTTTTCTTCTGGGCTCAGGAAAATGAAGAGAGCTCAGACTGTGGATTCCTGGTTTACACAGGCAGGGGAACCCCTTCCACCAAGGAACAAACAGACCTGTTCTGTTTCAGGGTGGAAGGGCGGGGTGGAAACGGCGGCCGAGGGGGAGATGGAGGGAAGGCTCTGGCAGCTTCTGTCTCCTCTGGACGGGTGTGGCTCCAGTGCAACATCAGGCAGGCCTACCTACTTAGGGGAGGGGAGAAGGCGGCTTTTGGCTGGGGCCCTTTTCAGCAGGGCGAGTCCTTGGAGAATAACCCAGCCAGAGGAAGCTGCCGGGAGAAGGATGTAGCACACCAGAGGAAGGATGCTGTCCATCGGTGCCGGCTCCTGAGAACTCTCTGCTGTGCCCACCCCTGGCAACCTCCCCTTTCCTGTGTGTGCAGAGGCCCGGACCTTGAGGGTTGACCTGAAGGGAAGTCCACAATCCACGTTCTTGTGGGGTCTATCTCACCCCTCCCTGCTCAGTCTGCTTCCATCAAATGACACTGATATCACTGTGGAGAAGGCTGTATTTTACAAGCAGACTAAAAATCCCAGGTCCTGCTTTATTATGCACTTGCTCATCACAATGCCTGAAGCCCAGCTTAAAGTCATCTTGCAAACTCTGCCTAGCCAGGGGCCAAAGGCCAGGCTGCTGGGTTCCTGCCAAAGGGCGCAGTGGGCAGGCAGGAAGCACCCGGTTCTGGGCTGGTCCCTCTTCTCCAGGGGCAGGGTGTCTGCCTGTGCCCTCAAGTGCTGGGATCAGAAGAGAAAGAACAATCCCAACAAGCTCCACAGGCTACCCCGGCCCCTATCTGTCTCTGTAGTGCGACCACGCTCCAGAGTGTGTTCACGTTCTCAAACGAGCCATCTGCTGATGTGCATCTTCAGGAAGACACAAAGCAACGGCTCTGGCTGCTCAGGAGGGAGTGGGGACAGACACTGCGCACACGCTCTCGTCAGTTGTTCTGCTATCAGATGGTGGGCAGGCATGCGGACAAAGTAACTGTCTTCTTTGGGGGACTCAGTATAACCCTGGTATGGAACACAGGCTGGCCACATGGTCAAGGGGTTATATGTAAAGAACCCTTCCTCCTCTACAGTGTGTGACAGGGAATGGACATGAAGCCCTGCCCCCTGAAGGTGCCCTTTGCGGCCATCTCTATCAAGTCTCCCATACCTGTCTTAAGCGGAGTAGCCTTTCTCTAGACCCCAAGACTCATTTGGAGTCCAGAAACCATCCCATATACCAGGATCAGGATAGAAGAGGGAATAGGCAGGGACTTAATGGGCAACGGCAAGGCACCTTGTCTACTCACAGGTAAGGGTGTGTATGGGTGTGTTGTGTGTGTGGGCGGGACAAGGAAGTAAACTTTGTTGAATAAACACTGCTTAATTTTATAAATTGGATACTATGATGCTTTTGCCAGAAAAGGGCAATGTTTTGCCAACAGCTTGGCATTTCTGCAGCAGGAGCTGTGTTAAGTGGCTCGGCACAAGCCCTGTACCAGGCTGGAAGTTTGGGGGCTCATCTTGGTGAGCAGGCTCGTTTCTCCATCAGGAGCTCAGCCTGATCTCAGACAGGTTACTCCTCATTCCATGCCCCCACTTCCCAGCATCCTCTGGGCTCTCCCACTCCAGGCAGTGCTCTTAGGACGAGGCCACAGTGTTGAGAAAGGGGACACCAGACTTGGAGTCAGAAGACCTGTATGTCACCCTCACCCTGTAGAGCTGTGCTCTTTGTTCCAAGCCTTTGGTCCATGCCCTCATCTCTAGCACCTGAGGGATGTCACCCTTATTCAGCCTGACTCTGAGCTGCCGCAAGAATGAAAATGAGAAAGTCTCTGTGACTTGTCAAGTGTAAAACAAATATACCTATTTTTGAAATAGTAGTGAATGCAGAGCCTAATAAGGCAGGTACCGCAGGAAGAGTTAGGGAAATCTGGCAAGGGGACAATCCACTTGCCATACAAATCAGGTGATTTACAAAAGGATTCAATCCATGCACTCGGTGCATTTAATCATCTTAGGTCTGAAGAAAAGACTCTTGAGGTGGGGGAGGGGAATCAGAAAAACAAGGATATTAAATCTCATGGAGGACAACAGGAAGAAACGCATTTAAATGAAAGGTGGAGGAATTTTACATTAAATAAAAGGAGGCACTTTCCTGTCTACCATTAAGGCACTCACTCACAGGAGACGGGTGCTGCAGGCTTAGACCTTCACCGGCAGGTGTTGGACCAAAGCTCACAGGTATCCTTCCCCTGGGTTCTAACATGAGACCGGGAGATGCCTGCTACCGCCTGGTGCAGCGGATCTGCCCAGCTGTGGTCCGCGGGTGCTGGCTGAGTGTGGAATTAGTCTCTAAAGGTGAGCAAGTGGACGGTCATAACAGCCTCACCACAGGTCTAGGGAAAGTGCAGAGGCATAGTTAGGTACGTTATGTACTGTTCTGAAGTGACGCCACTGAACCTTAGGCATAAAGCTAGAATGTACGATCTCAAGGGGAGCACACCTCAGCCCAGCTCTGAAGTCTGAAACCTAGATTATTACTTATCTAGAGAAGGGGAATGGTGGTGGAAATCCCTTCCACACTAGCTCAGCCCACATGTCTGGGGAAGCTAGGGATCCTCTGAGTTCCGGCCTCCTGATGTGGTGGGTCTCACATCTCCTCAGAGGGCAGGATCAGCCCTCAGGACAATTTCAATCATTTGTTTTGAGTCATCTGTGGCTGCCAGGTTTCTTTAAAGGCAGGTGACCCTGGCTGCCCCTGGAACATGTCTAGAATAAAATCTCTTCCTGCTCCTGCGGGTGTGCTGCTCAGGGCAAGGTACACCCAAGAGGCAGTCACCACCCTGCTCCATTCAGGAGGGAAAGCCTGCCAAACAAAAGCAGCCAAGGACACTGCATTTCTGAGCCAAGGGGAAGGCAGTCTGGGCTGACTGGTGTCCCAGCCTTTT